GGACATTTCATACGTGGGAGTCCGTTGGACCACGAGCATCTCTCCTGAACTAGCTGGGCCTCACACGGACGCGGGTCTTGGGGGACGTGATGGAAAGGGATGCTGGCCTCTGCACGAGGTCCCTGGGGTCCCAGTACACGAGGATGGGGGACACAGCGAGGGAGAGAGAAGTGGGAGGTGGTGACACCGGTGTGTAGGGGGGACAGGACCTGGCGAGGGCGCGCTGAGCGAGGGGCCCCTGGTTCAGGAGGGCTCTGGGGGGCGGCACAGGGAGCTGGTGATACAGGGGAGGCGTGTGCACAGCGGCCTAGGTGCCCCTCTGAGTCCCAGGGCCGCGCGGGGCAAGCAGCCCCCGAGGGCCATGTCACCAGGAGTCAGGTGAGGGCCCCTCATGGGGTCTGCCCCAGGGGTCTGGCCAGGCGGCACTAGGACCCTGTGTTCTAGAAATCTTTTTCTGACAGTGACATTCTACTTAGGAGGCTAGAATCTACCGTGGCGTGAAGCGCAGTAGTGAGGGATCCGAGAGGTGAAATTCTTACTTCAGGGGACCCAGCTGGGTCACACTGGTAGTTAGGATTGCCTTGTGTCAACCGGTGTGACCCAGGAGAGGTGGCTCTGGGGGTGAGAGTTGGGGGTGGGCTCAGAGTTGTCCCCTTTCCTGATGGCCGCCTGACCCTTGGCGTCCTGAGGTTCCTGTCTGCTTCCTCTCGAACTGCCGCCCTGAGGGGGCGCCTTCCCTCTCTGGGTCGGAATCTGTGCCTCCCTTTTAAGAAGACCCCCCACCCCCATCCTGTGGTCCAGTTGCTGGCCTGTCACCCTCCCGACTCTCCCTGGCACAGAGGGCGCCCCGTGAGGATGGACCTGGAGGCGGCCCGCTCACCGAGGCAGGTGTGCGCTCAGCACCACAGGTTTCTGTTTTAGAAGTACAATATGTTCGTGAAATGCTTGTCACTTCCTGTTTCTTGATTTTGCTGCTTGGAATTGGAATTGCACAGTAAGCTGCTTCCAGATGAGTGAGATTGGCTGACGTGCACTTGGCAGGTTTGGACCCCACCTTTATCTGTGCCCTCCATTTTTTTGGACAGCCTTCTGCCCTGGAGGTCGATGGTGCGAAGGCCACGGCTGGCGCTACAGCTCTGATACAGACCTATGTCCCGCGGGCGTTTCTCAAAGCCAGCAGTGGGCGTGAGCTGAGCTACGCTGTCCCCAAGGACGCCGACCGAGCCTGCTTCAAAGGACTCTTCCAGGCTCTGGAACAGAACCTCCATCGTCTGCACATGACGGGCTACGGGGTTTCTGACACCACATTGGAAGAGGTACCCAGAGGCGCTTTTCTCCTGTAGTCCTTTACTTGCCTCGGCGATGCGCCGTGGGGAGGCATGGGGAGGGGGTGGAGGACGCTGTCATTTCTGTTTATTCTCAGGCTCTGATGTGTGTCAGGCACAGCGTGAGCCAATCCGGAATGTTATGCACCTGACTGTTGTTCTTTAAGGGAAGCAGGCATTTTTATATTTGAGAGCGTTGGTCTTTAATCCAGAATCACTCGGTGTCCAGACACGGGTGGCAGTTGGCTGGCTGCATGTCCTCACCAGGGCGCCTTCTCTCGCCACTCTGGACCGTGTTTTGCCCCGGAGCCCGTGGCCCCACAGTGGCCCCACGCTGGGCAAAGGAGAGGTGCAGAAGGTCAGGCAGCCGGCCACTGCTGACCCCTGGCCAGCCCCCCAAGCCCCAGTTCCACGCTCTCCCCTCACTTGGGACTGAGCTGGTGGGTGCCAACACTCAGCATGGCTTCTTTGTATACAAGCGAACGGCCAGTGGGAGTCAGATCAGGCGTCTCCTCCGGGAGGAAACCGCTGCAGCCCAGTGCGGGCCTGGGGCCGCCTCTGCCTGGGCCAGGTGTGGGCCTGCCTTTTGCAGCGCTATTATCTGTAGGAAGCACAGCAGACTGAAAATAAAAAGCAGGTGCTACAAGTTAAAATAAAAAGCCTGGGAAGAGCCCTGGACCACTTTCTCTATATGACCCAGAAGTAGTGATAGTGTCCAGTCAGGTGGGTAATTAGTAGTTGGTACCGAGGGCCGAAGACACCATGAGGAACTTCAGCCGCAGGAGTTAAAATGCCGTGGCTTTTGGGTGGTCAAAGCCCTGACTGTCACACACACTGTTTGTTCAGATCAAATAATATGCTGTCCTGAGCACAGATTACNGACATTTCGGAGTGTAGCTAACCGGCCTGCCGTTGTCCTCTGCGTTCACACAAACACGTGTGTGTGTGTGATGTTTTCTTACAAAACGGGTGTCATAGGCACAAAACTTTGCAATCCGAGCTTTCACTGGCTTTTTGCCAGTATGCAATGTGCCCCTTGATTTTGGTAAAGAAAGACTTTGGAATTGTTCATGCATCTCACTCGTCCAGGCCGCCCCCGGGAGCACAGGTGTGGCAGCACCTGGGGGATGTGGGAGCCCTCTCGGTGAGTCTGCATCTCCTTCGCAGGGTCGTCTGTGCAGAACGGGACGGGAACGCTGGATGGAGGCCCCCTGGGCGTCACCCTCGTGTCTGTGACCAAGGAGCACCAGCCCGGCAGGGCGGCTGTCCGAGACCTGACCGTCACCTTCCACAGCGGCCAGATCAGCGCCCTTCTGGGCAGCAACGGCGCCGGGAAAACCTCCGTCATGTGCGTCCCTGTCACCCCCGAACACACAGCCTTGGTTCTCAGAAACACCTGTTTACTGGGAGACAGGAGGCCAGGCCTCTTCCCGTGTTTTGAGTCTCAGTGCGGTGTGGGCACAGAGGGAAACTGGAGCCCTCAGCCCCCGGCCACCCTCAGGTCTGGGGCCGACAAGCGGAGCAGGAGAGAACTTCTTCCCTACGAATAGCTCGCCTGTTTTTACTTTAGGTTTTGAAAGTCCTAGGACCCTTTTCATTTTTCTCCTACTAAGTTTAATTTTGCTTGTATTTCTGTAGAAGGATGAAACTCGGAATGAGGTTTGCAATTTTTTTGAACACCTGAGTATTTTTTTTTTTTCGTGTTCTAATTTCATGTGGTTGGCAGTTGTTTTGAGTTTGGGTTTATAATCCACTGGCTCCAGATTTAATTGAAGAATCAAATCGTGTGATCCCAGAGAAGTAACAAGCTCAGACATTCGTGGTCCACAGAATGGCCTGAGCTGCCTGTGGAAATGGTGGCTATTTAAGGTTAAACCACCAAAATTATCGAATTTCTCTATTGAACAAGTCACTTTCTTTTTGTTGTTTCTTTCAATAGTACTGCTTAATTAAATAATGAAAAGGCCTCTTTTCTACCTTATTAAGAAAGGTGGAAATATAAACATACATAAGTCTTCAGAAATCTCACACTGAAAACAAACTGAAAGACAGCACAGGAAGCCATCTCCTTTCCTCGGATGCTGAAACGGCTGCAGGTCCCGCTGTGCATCGCTTTAGTGTGCAGTTCGGGGATGTGAATGTTACACAAATAATGGCCAGAAAAGCGGCGTTCCTCGTCGTGCTCTTACCAGCGCATTTCTGTCCAGGAAGAAAGAATTGAAGGTGGAGTTTTCTCTTGTTTCAAGGCTCTGACTGCGTCCCTTTAGTGGGTGTTGGAAGGACATCTTGAGGCATCCTAGGGGTCTCCTCCCCCAGTGGCTCTAGTCAGCAGGCTCAGAGGCCAGTTCACAGACTGGTCGTCGCCCGAGAGCGTGAGGAATGTGTGTACACTGTTCTGTCGTGCCCCCCAAAGGTTTGGAAAAATACAGTGGACAGCTGTCAGTCAGGCCCACTGAGGCGATGCCTGTGCACTAACAGTGGCCGTTGAGAGGCCAGTTTGATGAGCTTGTCACGTGTGGCTGATGCTGGGAGGGGCCAGGTGGAGACACAGGGCAGCCTGGCCTCCCAGGTTTCCTGCACCCTCTGTGACCGCGGCCCCCAGGTGACACCCGTGTTTGACTCATTGCTGGACGGAAGTTTGCACTTCCTAGCGTTTCTTGTGAATGGAATCGTACGTGGCCTTTCCCGCTGAGCGGACGCCCGCAGAGCCAGACGTGCTCGGTGCTGTGAGGCCTTGTCGCCGCGTGGCCCTTATGTTCGCTGTGTGGAAGGACCGCGGTCCGTCCTTTCACCTCTTGGTGGCAGCTGAGGTCGTTTCCAGTTGTGGGAGATTGTAAACAAAGCTGCTATGAGCATTCAGGTGGATACTTCTGTGTGGACACGTTTTAACGTCTTTCATGTAAGCCTTAGGAGTGGATTTGCTAGGCCCTGTGGTAGGGGTATGTTTGACTTTTTAGAATGAGAAAATGGCGTAAAGCCACCAATAAGCTTCCCGAAACGAGGCGGCAGAATGAGGCAGTCCTCGGGCCTCCGCCGGCCACGTGGACAGG